TTGAGGGGTAGCGGGCCTAGAACCGGAAAATAGCCCGGTCTAATTGTAACTTAAAATTTTCTATTTTTTTTTTATTTTTATTTTTTATAAATTTAATTTAGATGGTCATTATCCAGAACCGACAATGTAGCCATATGCGGGCCCCCACATATTACCCTCAAACGAACACGGTGTTGCCTCGTATACATGCGTCTTTCACACGGACCCCCCAATTTCTCTCTATATATATAATGCTCCCACAAAGTCACAAACTCGATGGATATGAGCTACTGAGTTTGCATCATTTGTTGAGAGGTAACCATCTAATTGTGTATTTTTCTCTTTCTTTTTATCATTTGTTAATAGGATTTTGTGATGCACGTTTATGATTTACGTTTTGGTGTTATTATTGATTCGATTTGATTCTTGTTGAAGAGTATGAAGAACTTGGGTTTTTGTGGGTGTTTTGTTGGGTGTTCATTGGCTGGTGCCTGGTTTAATTATGATGTTTGTTTGGTTTCTTGTGAGGATCTGCGGATATATGATGATACCTTCACATGATTAAGGATGGATTAGAAAAAATAAATAAAAAAATTAGGGATTAATTTGTTTGGGAGGGCTTTGATCTGATTAATTGCGCGATTGATTACCTGTTAAGATAACAAAGAGGAATCTGGATATGGCATTTGATCTATCTCTGCTCGTACGAAAGTATGCTTTTTCTCTTGATCTGAAATGGATGAAGATATAAATTATAGGTTTGCCGATTCATTCGAAAACGTATACTTTTTGTTTTATAGTTCATATTTGATCGGTTGATTCGTCTGAAAGCATGTACTTGTGAAAATGTATACTGTTTTTATGACTCTAATTGCATGTATCATAGTAGTTTCTGGTGGAGATTGTATGAGGCAGTATTATTGTTTCATAAAATTACGGCCTCGTTGTATTTTATTCTGTATCGTGTGTATAAGCAGTTGGTATTTTCCGTTTTCCAGCGACAAGGTGCTGTATTTGCTTTTATGTTTTATACAGAAGGTATGATTTGTATATTTGATGTTTATGCTCGTTTTCACTTGTCCTGTGTTTAATCCTTTTTGTCGCCGGAAGAAAGGTCATTTTGGTCGTTGACTGGGTTCATTGGCAATTGTTCTATCTAAAACCATGCATAATTCAGTTTTTGAAGTTTTGTAATTTTGATTAGGGTATCAATTTCTGTCTCCTCAGATATTTAACGATGGAAGACAAAACCAACGGCTGTGTTGTAATAGAAGAGAAGGAGAAAGTGCATCTCAAAGTTGAGAGTGAAGTTGAAAAACTCAGAGAAGCAGAAGAAAAGGCCAAGGTGGAACTTAAACTGGAAACAAAATCAATAGTGAAAGACGAGACGAAACATGAAGAAAGCAATGACACGAAAACGCATGAGCAGGAGAAAAGCGGTGAAGCTGAAGAGCATGTGGGCGAAGATAAAAAGAAAGACAAGAAGAAGAAAAAGGAGAAGTCCGAAGACCAATCTGATGAGGAGCTGAAAAAGGGCAAGGAGGTGAATGATAAGAAGGACAAGAAGAATAAAAAGGAGAGTAAAGAGAAAGACAAGGGTAAAAGTAAAGGGTCCGAGCAGGGGAGTGGGGAAGATGAGGAAAAAAATAAGCTTAAGAAAGAGAAGAAGAAAAAAGATGAAACGGATGAGGAGGGGGAAGAAAGTAATGAGAAGAAGAAGAAAAAGGAAAAGAAAAAGAAAAAAGATGATGAGTTTAAGGATGAAGGGGGTTGTTCTGTAGAATCTGAGGAGGAAAAGGATAAGGAAAAAAAGAAAGATAAAAAGGACAAAAAGGATAAAAAAGTTGAATCTGAAGGGGAAAAGCGAGAAATGGATGAAGAAAAGGAAGGGAAAAAGAAAGACAAGAAGAAAAAAGACGAGGGACACGAGAGTGATAAAGAAAAAGAAAAGAAGAAAGATAAGAAGAAAAAAGACGAGGGAGACGAGAGTGAAAAAGAAAAAGAAAAGAAAGATAAGAAGAAAAAAGACAAGGACAAGAAAGATGAAGAAGTTGATACCATATGCAAAAGGGATTTAGATGGAGCGACTAATGAGGAATCCGAGGACGAGAAGAGTAAAGGTAAGGATAAGGAAAAGAAGAAAGACAAAGAAAAGAAACAAAAGGATAAGAAAGACAAGAGAAGCAAGGAAAAGACTGATAAAGAGTCGGAAGAAGAAGGGAGTGAGGAAAATGATGATGGAAAAGAGAAAAAGAAGAAAAAGAAGGACAAGAAAGAGAAGAAAGGAAAACTCGAAGACAAGTATGATGCTAAGGATCTCGACAAGCTGAAACAAAAGCTGGAGAAAATCAATGGCAAGATTGAAAGTCTTGTCGAGAAGAAAGCCGACATCATGAGGCTGATAGAAGAGGCTCAGGACAAGAGCCATATTGTTGATGCCAAGGTGACTGAAGAAGTAAAAGAGGGTGAGGTCAAGGATTCTAGCTGCAGTTAAGGTAGCTTGCTATCTTGAGATTTTATGATAATATTGCTATGTCTTGATTAGCTTGAGGGTCTACATATGTGTGCTTTTGGTGTCAGAAGTTACAAACTTCCTATGGTGGTTTGCAGTCTTAACTTTCTTTTCCTTTGTTGGTTTATAGGTGGTGGATATTATCTCTTTTGTCCTGGTACTGTTGTATATGTTTACAGTGAATGTATCTGTTTATACATTAAATATAATAAAAATTTCTTCATCTTTCCTTGTTATGCTCATGCTTTGTGGGTGTATGTGATTGAACGTTATTGGAGAAACTCCTGAAAGTATATGTTTCTCACTTATTTCCAGAAATCCATGCTGACTATGTTACAAGATAATCCTTGTCCAAATAGAAGAGAACTTATTCAATAAATTTGAAACCATAGATGCAAAATGTAGGGAAACTAAGGATATCATATCATGGAAACATGAAGTTTATTCATCTTTTGCATTCATGCATGCACTGAGATTCTCATCAATAACATTTCCCTCTGGAAGAAAGAAAAAAGCTATAAATTAGGTTGGTGAAACCCTACAATGGGCTCAATTAAACCGAATGACACGATTCAAATTTAGTTGCCCTTTACGGAATCAGTTGTGAGCCCATATCCAAAACTGAACAACGGGTCATAATGCTTGTCACCAATGTTCATCGGGAGTTGTTCAACAGTCTTGAACCACGTGCGTGGCAATTTACCCGTGAAACCATAGTCACCAAACAGTACATCGGCAACACCATGGCCTTCGGTTCCCGGAAGCCAAGCCGCCACAAGGCCATCGATTTGTGATAGATATGGCTCTATCACGACTGGCCGGCCTGTGATCAAAACAACTACGCAATTGATCGAGGCACAAACATTTTTGATAATGGTGGGTGCTGGATCGGGAAGGGTCAGGTTTAGGTTGTCTCCAAATGTTTCGGCATATGGTGGCTCCCCCACAACAACAATGGCGTGCGAGAAATTTTGTGATAGTAATTTGGGACGTGGGTTTTCGCTGAAAATGACTTGTGTGTTTTTATCGACTGCATCCTTGATTGCTGTCAAAATCGTGGTCCCTGACCATAAGGAGAAAACCCTAAGTTAAGTGCTTAGAGTTCTATAGTATGTAATTTTGGAGAGAGTCCTTATTTCTTTTACAAAAGGATCTCAAGGGTGTCTTTCTTGCAATGAAATATAAATTCTTGATGCGAAAACTGAAATGATCGTGAGGTCTTTACCGGCTGTAATATTGCCAGACTGTCCCTGCCATTTGATCGTCCAGCCACCACACTGGTAGCCGATATTGTCAGCGTGGGTCCCGGCAACTAGAATCTTTGATGCCTTCTTAGGTAGTGGCAACAATGGTCTCTTATCTGCAGATTCACCATTCTTTAGCAGCACAAGTGATTTTCTTACAGCTTCCCTTGCTAGTTCCCTGTGTTCCTGTGGATTTTTTATTGTTTATTTTTGATGCATGAGCAAATCCATGTTCACAATTGTCATGGTAAAAAATGTGCTTTCAGCTTATACTGTCTATTTAACCAACCCACCTGACTTCCCAGGTGCTTGATCATGCTATAGTCGGCCAATGGGTGTTCGAACAGACCCATCGTGAACTTGACTCGCAGAATCCTTCTCACGGCATCATCTATTCGGGTCATGCTGATAAAGTTTCTCTTCACCAATGAGGTTAGGCCATCGATGAACTCTGTGTAGTTGTTTGGAACCATGACCTGCAGTACAGAAATACATATTGCCTTGTTTAAGCTTTTCGGTTGAGATAATTGCAGAAAATTCCAATTATTTCAAAATCAGAAAAGGAAAAAAAAAAAGAAAGAAAAACAGAGAAAAAACTCATGATCACTTCTTTTGAGATCTAAAATATTACAAAATGTCTAAACATAAGCAGTACTTTAAAATAATGTTGGGGTTTTATCTGTAATAATCGAGCGTTATTCTCGTTTACTTGTTTTTTCCTCTGTGATTTATCGTTTACTTGATTTTTCCTCTGTGATTTATCGAAAAATAAATTCAGCCCACCATGTCAATGCCAGCATTGATACCAGCAAGAATCGAGTACGTATAGTTGGAGTGAGGGGGAGACGTGATTCTGTCTATTCCCTCCCAGTCTGAAATGACAAATCCCTGGAAAATAAAATCACAATAAACTCAAAATCTTTTGCTCATTCAATAAGCCAATATCATATATAGTGACTTAAATAACTTACCTCGAATTTCAACTTGTTCTTGAGGTAGTTGGTTATGAGTTTACCATTGACATGCATTTTGACGCCATTCAAGCTTGAGTATGATACCATGATTGTCCCCACGCCCTTGCTGATCGAGTCCAAGTAAGCTGGCATGTGGATGGTCTCTAAGTCGTGCCAGCTAACAACCGTGTTGTTCTCGTTTATGCCATTTGTGGTCCCACCATCCCCCACATAGTGTTTGGCCGATGCTAATACGTTGTTCCTGAAAAATATACGTCGCAGATAATTTTTTAGCTTTGGTTCAAACCTGTACAAGTGATCCAGTTGGAACAGTTCCATAATGCAAAACATTTGATCACTTCCAGCCTTTATACAGAAGATAGAAAGATATTGGCGGGACACAAGTTTTCGAAAAGTTATACACTTTTGGTATTTTGCAATCCTATGTGTTAGTTTTGGAGTGGTCCATGTGGATCTTCTATTCATACATAGGGAGATGCGACGGTCTTGTTACAGAACTATTGCGTTGAGGTTTGTTACCATTGATCATCATGTAACCGTCCCTAATAGGACCGTAGCAATTCCCTCGCACATATTAGAACTTTTAAATTATAAAAAAACTTAACTAACTTAAACTATAAATATATTTAAAAATTAATAACTTTTGTATTTGATATATATCAATATATAGTTTGTGCGATGCACGGGATAATAATTATAAATTGCACGTATTACAACAATAATAAATCTTGATTGTTATAAAGGTAGTTTTAAATATTAATATTAACTATTTTATTTTATTTTATGAATTATAATAATGTAATATATGATTTATAACTTTATTTCACTCGTTATGAAAAAAAGTTTTCATTTTAAAGTTCTTGTTTATAATTAAAGGAGAAAATTGAACATATTAAAATATTTTATTTGAAAATGCCAATTAATACCTACTCTAATATCTTACTATTAATACAAGCACACGTGAATACATTTTTTTATTTTTTTTTTTAATTTTCAATATATGTTTCTTAAAACACACTTAATTTATTTAATTCCGGTTCATGTCACGAGTCATTAATCAACTGCAATGACAGAGTGGAGTCGTTGACTTTGACTTGGAAAATGTTTTACATTCCTGCATGTATCTTGATTTGTTTATCTACACTATCTTAATATTCCACGCTCTGCCCGGAAAAGCCTCCTTTTGTTTTTCAACATAATTATTTTAAAATAGATACTTATTCGATGATTTTTTTTTTGTATTCTTTTTTCGAACTGTTTGCGTTCATATGATCTTCGGCTTAATAAATTCACGATATTTTGCTTTTTCAAAAAGTCGGAGGTCTGGCTGCAAACTAACCGAGCTGCTCGCGAGCACTCGAGTTCGAGTTTGACCGAAATCGATCCCATATTTTGCATTGTTGAGCGGCTCGAAAAATTACTAAAATACCCTTATATATGTTACAACAGTGTAACATCAATGCTTAATGGTAATTTTATTTTTCTATTTAAAATTTTTCCAGCCGAGCTCGAGAAAAAAGAAAAACCAATCATGCAGGCCAATGTTCGATTCGGCTCGGCTTGGCTCATTTGCAGCCCTAGTCGGAGGGAAAACAAAAAGGATCAAGAAACGTAAATATGTGATCAGATTAGATGAACTCACTGGCCAGCTAGGAATGGGACGCCCTTGGCAGAATTTGCAGGTATATCGCCTTGCAATCCAAGTATAATTTCAGTCATGTTTCGAACCAACTCTGGATATTCACTGTAACTTTCGTAACATCGACCCCATCTTGGATCTCTACACACCTGTGGCACCATACAAACCACGAAAAAACCGACACCAAAATAATACATAATCTAATTAATCAACGTCAATAGCTAGCCACATATATTTGAATGAATTTGGTACCGCAATGCAAGGTGCAAAGACATAAGGAATGCCTGTAGCTCTGACTTCCAGAGCCGTTGCAGCTCCTATTTTCTTCACCAATTGAGGATCTCTGCAGAAAAAGAGTGTAATAATCTTAAACAATGCAAAATGAAATCAACCAGTGAAAAAATGTAAGTAACTTGCCTAGTAGCTCCGAGACCGATATTATGGGGAAAAATGGTAGCATTATAGACATTGTTGTGGCCATGAACAGCATCGATACCGTACAACATTGGTATCTTGAGAGGTGTAGACAATGAACCCTTTTGAAAACCATTCACCATGTCGATCCACATCTCAGCGGACGCTTGTGGGCCCGGGACGCTACCTCCCCCGCTTAGTACACTTCCTGCAAATTTGTTTGTTCGTATCATCACATAACCTGTTATATATAAAGGGAAATATATTATCTTCGTTCTAGTTTACCTATGTAATACTTCTTCATAACATCAGCTGATGCTACTGCTCGTTCGATTTGTGTCATCTGGCCAACTTTTTCTGCCAAGCTCATTCTGCTCAAAAGATCCTCGACTCTCTTGGAGACGGGCTGTTTGGGGTCTTGATATAGTGCGTAACCGGCATTTGATACTGCTATCCAATAACAGAACAACACAATCGACAAGAATAGAGGTGGAGCTCTTGCCATTTTTAGGTCCTCTGAGCCTTTACATTGGGACAACACAAGAAACATATATAAGAGAAGAATGAAAAACTTAGATTAGAAATTCACACATGATGGTGTTATTAGCGATTGGCCGTAATGCAAGAAGAGATCAAATCATATATATTATTAATCTTCTTGTTTTATGTCTAGAAACGGACAGCACTGAAAAGTCAAACAAAACCCAGTTAGTTATGATCGTGAATGGATATGAGAAAAATTTCTATTGCATTTTACTTCATATGCAGGCTCAGTATTTCATGCTGCTGTAGGTGGCCAAGGGCCGACCCGGCCCTCTATCCCAGCACCGAACCGGCCAGGATTTTGGCGGTTCTATGAACCGGAACCGTGGCCATGCGGATCGGTTCTGGTTCTTTACTTTTTTTTTTGTCCCGGCGGTCCGGACCGGGCCGCGGGTTGAAAGACGGGAGGCGTTGCATTATTTTTCTTTTTCTAAATGGGCCGAACCGGCCTGGAAGCAGCCAAAAACCGGCGGGTCGGTGACCCGGCGGTTCAGGGCCGATTCATTGAACTGGCTCTTGGTTAATGGCGGGCCAGTCAAGGGCCATGAATTTGAGGCCCGCCGGCCCGGGCCGTGACCCGGCCCGTTGAATGGCCACCTCCAGCGGCTCCATATCTAAATGGGAATAATGTTACGAAAATAATGATGGGATCTTACTTGATTGTAAATTGGGCAGCTGAGGTCTTTTATAGCTAACAACTTGGGAGCTATTGGATGATTAGAGTCTGTATATATAGACAAATTTGTTACTGCTTGCTTACTTTTTATTGTTTTTTTATTTACTCACAATTGCATTTTTCGTTGTGGAATGATTCAATAATTAAGAACTTTGACATTATTCTCTCTCTCTCTCTCTCTCTCTCTCTCTTATGTATAATATAGATTTATATAAGAAACACTAAGAGCTCTGCAGCATCTTTGAAAAAATATACAGAAACTTGGTGTATTATATTGGACTATCTCACTACAAGAAAATGATGAAATTCCAACCGAAATTTCTAACGGAAATATATTTCAATGGATATTCTAATGTTACTATTTTCGTTTGATTTTAATTTCCAACGGGTTCCAACGAAATAAATATTTCGTTGGAATGACTTTTCCATCGGAATTCACAGTTTTCATGATGGACCGACAATCAGTGAAGAAGATATGTTACGTGCAGTTTCCTTATAGAGTCGATGGAATTGATAGGCACGACAGACATTGCAACCATAATGTCGTCTTTTTCGAAGCACGTTGAAGATACATACTGTATTTGTTGATAGTTTAGGCTTCTATACGGATTTTAAATTTAGTGTCTTATTTGAAATAGATAAATATGGAAGGCCTTGAGGGGATCCTAGGTCCCATTTATGTGGGAACTACAAGCATCCATGTTCGAGCACTACCCGCATGGTAGCATAGTAGCATTGAGTTAGCCGTGAACCTGTGATCGAGTACACAAATGTAAGCACCTTTAATCCCCATATTTCGAATTCATATTAAGTTGTACTATCTTTATTTGTTTTCCTGTTTCTTTCTGAATATACTAAACCCAGCCACAAGTGTGGCCACTCCATATACTTTTGCATACATGTTGAAAATATATAAATAGAGTCATAACAGTCATCCGATATGTTGCAGTTCAAGCTTTAGTTGCATTTCACAGGCTCGGTGGTGAGTCCATACCCATACGCGAACAATGGGTCATACTTTTTATCTCCCACATTCATCGGCAGCTGGTCGACCGTCTTGAACCACGTGCGCGGCGATTTCCCAGTAAATCCATAGGCTCCGAACAGAACATCGGCCACGCCTTGTCCTTCGGACCCCGGAAGCCAAGCCGCCACCAGGGCATCCATTTGACGCAGGTAAGGCTCAATCACGACCGGGCGGCCCGTGATCAAGACCACCACGCATTTTATCGAGGCGCACACGTTGTTTATTACGGTGGTTCCCGCCTCAGGCAGGGTCAGGTTCATGCTGTCTCCCATTGTTTCCGCGTAAGGCGGCTCCCCCACCACGACAATTGCATACTCAAAGCTGTTATGTTTCAGAGTTTTGGAATTCGGGTTCTTTTGGAAAACGACTTCCGTGCCCTGATCGACCGTGTTCTTAATGGCGGTCAGGATCGTGGTACCTGAAGATAAATATGAATAAGGGAAAAATAATATATCTTTACAGAAAAATGAAAACGGATCTTGTGTTTTTACCGGCTGTAATATTGCCTTCCTCTCCTTGCCACTGTATAGTCCAGCCGCCACATTGGTAGCCAATATCGTCAGCATGGGTCCCAGCCACAAGAATCTTTGATGCTTTTTTAGGAAGCGGTAACAATGGTTTACTGGTAGATTTACCGTTCTTTAACAGCACGAGCGATTTTCTTACTGCTTCCCTTGCCAGTTCCCTGTGTTCCTGTGGATTTTCAGAAGCGTTTAAGTGAATGAGTACACATATAGCAATGGAAAAGGGCGTGTTGGACTTATTCTATAAGAGTGTGACTAACTTGACACCCGAGGTACTTGGCCATGCTGTAGTCGGCCAATGGATTCTCAAAAAGACCCATCGTGAATTTGACTGTCAGAATCCTTGTTACTGCATCGTTTATTCGGCTGATGGGAATAAAGTTTTTATTTACTAATGAGATTAGGCCGTCAATGAAATCTTCGTAGTTGTATGGAACCATAATCTGCAGTGTGTATGAAATGATCTTGATCAGTTTTGCTGCATATAATGACTTTGTTTTCTTGTAACTGAAACCTTAATTATTTTTTGTACTATCTTCATTTTTTATGTGTTTTTTAGTTTCTTGCATTTGATATGAAAATATATAGACCCACCATGTCAATGCCAGCATTGATACCAGCAAGAATCGAGTACGTATAGTTCGAATCAGGGGGAGAAGTGATTTTGTCTATTCCCTGCCAGTCTGAAATGACGAATCCCTGAAAAGTAAAAATCGCAATGAACTCGAAATCTTTTGCTGATTCGTTTAAGCCAAGATCATATATAGAGACTGAATTAGTTACTTGCCTTGAATTTCAACTTGTTCTTGAGATAGTCGGTTATGAGTAGACGATTGGCATGCATTTTAACGCCATTCAAGCTGGAGAGGGATATCATGACCGTCCCCACGCCCTTGCTGATGGCGTCCAAGTAGGGTGGCATGTGGATACTCTCCAGCTCGCTCCAGCTCACAATCGTGTTGTTCTCGTTTATGCCCTTTGTGGTCCCACCGTCCCCCACATAGTGTTTGGCTGATGCCAAAACCTTTCGCCTGGAAAACGCGTGTTAATTTTGAAAGGGATGCATGTATCCCAAGCCAAGGTGGTGCTATTTGTAAAGAGAGAATTCAAGTTCATTGATTTATAGAATCTTAAGGTGAATAACTGTGAAAGACTCTGAATGTGACCATATTGTATAACTTACTGGCCATCAACAAAAGGGACACCTTTGGGAGAGTTCGAAGGTATATCGCCTTGCAATCCGGGTATGAGTTCTGTCATGGCTTCAACCAACTTCGGATCCTCGCTGTAGCTTTCGTAACAACGGCCCCATCTTGGATCTCTACAAACCTTCATATATATATATATATGAATGAAAAAAAAAAAAATTTACATACCATTGTTATTTTGAGGTGCGATAGATTATTCTACGAAATTAATTAATAAGGCCGACAAGTTTAGTACCGCAATGCAAGGCGCAAAAGCATATTGAATGCCTGTAGCTCTGACTTCAAGAGCCGTCGCACTACCTATTCTTTTCACCAGTTGAGGATCTCTGCACAAAACCGAAAACCGACTTGGAAAAACGAAAAGAATACGAAGGTGAAAATTAAGGATTAAGGAAAAAGAGAATATAGTAGTTGCCTAGTAGCTCCAAGACCAATGTTATGAGGAAAAATTGTAGCTTTATAGACATTGTTGTGTCCATGGATGGCATCAATCCCATACAACATTGGTATCTTGTGAGGTGTAGATAATGAACCCTTCTGAAAATCGTTAACCATGTCGATCCACATCTCAGCGGACGCTTGTGGGGCCGGGGCACTACCTCCACCACTTAATACACTGCCTGCAAAACTCAATGTAACTTCACAAAATTAGGCACATTATTACTTTAAGAAGTCGATCTGTTGTTGTCGAAATAACGTTCGGTTGATCTAGAGCAGCCAAATTCATATGATCATATGCCTTTTCCTCATTATTTATCATACAACATGAAGAGA